CATTCAAACATCTGCAGCCGCTTTACCTCTATCCTCCGCCGCTCTGCCTTCCGGGAGCTAGCGCTGGCTATAAATCGCACTGCCTGCCTGCACATTCCAAGAGCACAGCAGCAGAGCGAGCTAGCACACACGGTTCATCTGCAGGTGCGTGCGTGCTTTAGAAAGAAAACCAACAGCTAGCTAGCTAGGCAGTTGCACGAGCGAAGAAATGGCCAAGCTTGCCGCCCTGGCGATCACCTTGCTCGGGCTCCTGGGGTCCGTGGCATGCCACCAGGGCACTAACCCGAGCCAGACCCAGACCTCTAGCTCTAGCCGTACTGCCGTAGCCTCGGCTGCATTTTGCGAGGGTGGATCCCGTTGTTGCCTCCTTGCCGCGACGAAACCCCAACACCTAACCCTGATCTTCCAGACGTGAGCCCTACTCCCTCAGGGCTCACCGTGGGCTACTTACAACAAGAGTGGTACCCCTTATTACTGCCCTAGCGCTGAGGACGTCGTGAAGAAGGCCGTGGAGAAGGCCATCAAGGAAAACCCTGGCATTGGCGCAGGACTCGTTCGTCTCTTCTTCCACGATTGCTTTGTTCGGGTACGTACATCTCACATATATATAGATATAGCCTCGCTGCCTTGCTTCTTGTGGCGCCGGCGATGCATGCGCAATGCAACATTGGGATCGTGTTCGTGTCTTTGCTGACGTGGTATTGCATGTTTTCAAGGGTGTGATGCTTCCCTTCTCCTGAGGAACACCAGCGGCTCCAGCCAAGAGACGGAGATGTTCGGCTTGCCCAACATAAACAGCCTCCGCGGGTTCGAGGTGATCGACGCGGCCATGGCGGAGCTCGAGAATAATCCTGCATGCCGCGGCAAGGTCTTGTGCGCGGACATCGTCGCCTTCACCGCCCGCGACGCCGCCCGGCCGCAACCTCAGCTACGGCGCCATCGACTTCGCGATGACGGCGGGCCGTCTCGACGGCCGCGTGTGTCCCTCAAGGAGGAGGCCGAGCGAAACCTGCCGGGGCCGTTCGACACCCTCAACGACCTGGAGAAGAGCTTCGCCGCGCAGGGCCTCGACCCCCACGACATGATCACGCTCTCCGGCGCGCACAGCTTCGGGGTTCTTCGGCAACCGCCTGCCGCCCAGCAACACCTCGGACATGGACCACGACCTCGACAACAGCCTGAACGTGACCTGCAGCAACAACGGCCCCGACTTCAGGGGTGGTGCAGGACCCCGTGATGCCGGTTGAGCTTGGACAACCAGTACTACAAGAACGTGCACAGCGGCAAGGTGCTCTTCACGTCGGACGCCGCGCTCAACTCCACGGACGACGCGAGGAAGGTGGTGGATGGCTTCGCCAGGAACGCGGGAGACTGGTACCGCGCGTTCGCCGACGCCATGGTGAAGATGGGCGAGATCAGGGATAAGACCATCAACAGACCCAAGCCTGAGATCAGGGAGAAGTGCTCCATATTTACAATTCCTACTGATACATATAAGACGTACGGCGAGGAGGTGCGGGGAGGAGCGCAGCTGGCTGCCTAAATGCATGGAACGAAGTATCCAGTTCGATCGGGCGCACTGCGTACCATTTGCCGCTGGTTTTCTTATACTGCATGCAATACTTGGAGTTGGAGCTTGGTGTGTTGATTTTGTTTTGCTTTTTTGTTCTCTTGCATTTATTATCATGCGAATTCCTTAATTTACATCCATTAGTATTTGTCATGATGGCATTTTTGTTGCAAGAGTACTTTGAACAATTCAAGCAATTCATTTCATTTGTTCACACAAAACTTCCTCTACATTCGGCATTACTAATTTGCAACGGTAGGCTTCTGAAGGGGCATTATGTTTCTCGAGAGGGTCCATGGATTCTCCGAAACAATAGAAAGGCCCGGTCCATATTTTCTTTTATAAGGCCCAGTGAATGTTGATTTGAAATACTAGACGACATGGGCCGTTCCATAGCACATGACTCACGGTTATTTTGGTCGATTAATCTTCCAATATGCTAGTTTCAACAACTCTCGTTCTTCACACTTCTTCTTGGCTGCTTGGCCTGTAGTAGGGATCTGGTTCACTGCTTTAGATATTAGTACTATGGCATTCAACCTAAATGGTTTCAATTTCAACCAATCTGTAGTTGATAGCCAAGGTCGTGTTATTAATACTTGGGCTGATATCATCAACCGTGCTAATCTTGGTACGGAGGTAATGCGCGAACGTAATGCTCACAACTTCCCTCTAGACCCAACTGCTCTTGAAGTTCCATCTCTTAATGGATAAGGTTTTTCTCCTAAATATATAGGAATTTTTGAAGGAAGGAAAGCCGGAAATACCCCCGGTACTCCAAATCAGCCCAGATGAAATGAAGGGCTCTCCGTTTGTATTCCTGGTCCTTCTCTGCTTTCGGACAGGATGAGAATTCGTTGAAATATTTTGCATCAGCCGGGTATATTAGCATACATATATACAGTTCAATCAATCAACTTCATCCGAAAGGATTAAGGAGCTTGTGTGATTTCCTGTGAGACTTTTTTTTTTTTATAAAGGGACAAATTTTATTGATTAACGGCAGGAAGCCGCTATGAGGGTGAAAGAGCCACCCATTACAGAGTTTATAGCTGTCAAAGATGGACAGCTACCTGAATGCCTACGATTTGTACATGTAGCTCTATGATCATGAATTTGAGTGATGCTACAATTGTAGGCCTGATTAGCTAGGACATGAGCAGTGATATTTAGCTTTCTTGCAATCTTGAAGATTTTTCCTCCATTAGTTGATATGATGTTGACGAAGCTCTGAGTGTAGGGTTTAATCTCCCAAGTCGGAGGGTTTGAATGATCTTTTCCATTGAGGAAGTTGACCAGCTGTTGGTTATAAGATAGGAAGAAGGGTTGTGGCACCTGCATAGCATTCAAAATCTTTGCACGAAGAGCTAAAGCTGTTGCTTCAGCCATCAAGACGGAGTTACATTCTTGACAAATCGCCTTCACATAAATGGTTGCTGTTATGCCTGCATAAGAGGTGACAATAAAGATGCCTATTCCTGCTCGTCTTGGAACCTGCGGAGAAGTATGTGGAGAAATTGAAGCATCAGTGTAACATCTAGTACCAGGCAATTTTGCTGGCATGGAGATGTTATAATTAGGTGGCCCTGGTAAATTAATCATCCAAGCCGAGTCACTTTGGTAGTGGCTTGTCGTTTCTCCAGTGTTACCTGCAAATGAGAATTCTATACCTTCTTGCTGAAAACAAGCATCCATATTTGTTTGATTTCCTTTAACTCTTGGTTGATTCCTTTGAAACCTTGTGATATTTCCATGACTTGTCAATCCTTGAGTTTCCTGCAAAGAAAATGGAAGAATCGGCTGGGCGCCAACTCTGGTTGACTGTGGGTTTGGGTTATTCTGCAATTGATTATGGGATCCTTCATTTTCGTTCTGAATGTGAACATCTTCTTTGTCTCCTGCAAATCTTGAAATCTTTATATCCGCTGCTACCGCAAAGTGTATCTGCAAGGCAGACCATCTTCTATTGTTGAAGCGAGTATCATTTCTCGCTTTCCAAATGTACCAAAGAGTTGTTAAGATAATTTGAAACCCATCATCAGTAGTATTAGAAGTGATTAGAGATGCTAAAGTATCCTGCACTCCATCTTGTTCCTGTGGTAGGGATGATGTTATTAAGTGTGGAGAGGCAGAGAACCAGACAGCTCTAGCAAAAGTACAGTGAAAGAAAAGATGAGAGTCATTTTCTAATAAATTGCAAGTAGCACATTCCTTGCTGATTTTAGCTGTATAAGCTCCTGCTCTGGCGCCGGTTGCCAAAGCCCTTCTCATGAGCCTCCAAGTGAAAGCCTTTATACAGGGTGAGAGTATTTTGTGCTTCCAAACTCTATTAAGGATTTGTAGAGCTTCTTGAGTGATAGTTCTGCTTCCCTGATTGTTGATCTGAACCTGCAATTGTTTATTAAGATAAAGAAAATTAAAGCTTCTTTGGTGGTGCATATGCCTTTTTTAGCTGGTTTCCATCTAATAATATCTTGTGAATCAGAAGGCACCACCGAGGTATGAGTGATACAACGAACAGCAGAGGCATCAAAAATCTTAGAAATAAGATCAGTATCCCAAATCTGAGTTTCACGAATCCAAAGATCAGAAACTTCATTAGGAAGAGGTTGAACAGTAACAGGTAAATTAATGTGATTATAAATATCATCCTAGATATCCACCAAGGCGTGGACCAAATACTAGAATTGCCATTATGAATTTGAATAATGCATTGCTTATGAAGTGTATCTTTGACTTGAAGAATAGATGACCAAAAGGCAGATTTAGTGCTACTATTACAAGCTGTCCAAAAGGTGTTATTGGGATAGTATTTGAATTTAAACTAGCTAGTCTACAATCTCCCATGAAAATGAAATATACCAAGCTAGACTGCTAGAGCATGCGCGGTATATACCATTTGCACAGTCGTCGTCAGGCGGGTAATCGATCACTACTGCCATTCTGCCACCATATATATCATACATATAGTATGTGTTTTTTGTTACAATTGAATGAGTAAATATATCATATGCGCGCAGTATGCTTGATCAATCGATCGAGTCAATGATGCAGGCTGCTGATCGCCTGCAGACAATAATTAAGTCAACCATGCATTCCGGGCTGTGCGCTGCCACACTGCCTGGATCGGAGCTCACTCACGTACTCGCCATGTTCTCTACGAGTTGACTTTGGACGTCTCATAACATGGGCTCCAGAAACAGAAACATTCATTCGTCATTCCTGCTGGTTATGAACACACTCCACTCCGAGCTGAAGCTACAATTAAGTAGACATGAAAAGCAGCAACGACCAGCAGGGTACTCCTCAATAATCCTCATCCCATCGAGCTATCTTATCTTGCTGCTTCTTGTTCTAGTTTAGCATATACTATAATACTTCAGTACACAGTAGCTAGCTAGTGATCCAAGGCAGCAGGAGCAAAGCAAGGATGATGATGATGGCCGCTAAGCTCGCTGTTGTCGCAGTGCTCGCGCTGCTTGCTTCTGCATCATGCCGCCAAGCAGGTTTCCGCAACGGTAATGGTGGCTGGGGCGGCAATCCCATTCCCATCACACAACCACCACCCAATCACTCTCCGGCCACGACCCCCAAAACGAAGCCGCCAGCTTACACGGATCGTTCGGCCACCCCACACCCACAGCCACCCTCTTACCCTCCGGCCACTCTGCAGCCACCCACCTATCCTCCGAAGACAAGCCCAAGCCCGCCGCCGCCCACGCCCACCTATCCTCCGACGAGCCTAAGCCCGCCGCCGACCACACCCACCTATCCGCCAACGAGCCAAACCCCGCCGCCACCCACGGCCACGCTCACCTATCCTCCGACGAGCCCAAGCCCACCGCCGCCGCCGCCGTCCCCTCCTCCGCCCAGCTCAGACGATGCTGGAAAGAAGCTCAAGGTTGGATACTACGAGAACAAGTGCGGCCGTTCCGTTGATGTGGAGGCCATCGTGAGGAAGCACGTCAGCGGCTTCGACGACGGCATCAAAGCAGGGCTCATCCGCCTTTTCTTCCACGACTGCTTCGTCCGTGTAAGTCTTATTAAGACCTCGATCACGCTTGACATTCGCATTCAGTGCAATCACTACTACATATTATATATATTAGTAGCTGATGACAACATACATGCACTGTAATGCATGATGGGTTCAGGGTTGCGATGCCTCCGTTCTGCTCGACCCGACCAGCACCAACCAGCAGCCGGAGAAGTTCGGCATACCCAACTTCCCGAGCCTGCGCGGCTACGAGGTGATCGACGCGGCGAAAGACGAGCTCGAGAAGGCATGCCCCGGCAAGGTCTCGTGCGCGGACATCGTCGCCTTCGCCGCCCGCGACGCGTCCTACTTCCTCAGCGGCGGCCGCATCAGCTTCGACATGCCCGCCGGCCGCTACGACGGGAACGTGTCCCTCGCCAGCGAGACCCTGCCTAACCTGCCCCCGCCGTTCGCGGGCCTCCAGCAACTCCAGAAGATGTTCGCCGACAAGGGGCTCGACGCCTTCGACATGGTCACGCTCTCCGGCGCGCACAGCATCGGCCGCTCCCACTGCTCGTCCTTCAGCAGGGACCGCCTCCCGCCCAGCAACACCTCGGACATGGACCCGGCGTTCGCCGCCAAGCTGCAGGCGAGCTGCGCGTCGGCCAATGGCACCGACAACACGGTGATGCAAGACTACAAGACCCCCGACGACCTGGATAACCAGTACTACCAGAACGTGCTGGACCGCAAGGTTCTCTTCACGTCCGACGCTGCGCTCACCTCGGACGACATGGCCAACAACCTGGTGCGTGTCTACGCGATCTTTCCATGGTTGTGGCAGGACAAGTTCGCGGAAGTCATGGTGAAGATGGGCCGCATCCAGATCAAGACGGACACCACCGGGGAAATCATGAAGAGGTGCCGCGTGGTCAACAGCAAACCATGATCCGATGACCGGTCGTGCTAGTGCCTCTTCATCAAACTCTGATGCCTCACATGATGGAAAATAATTAATCTAATTAACTTCTACGTACATTGATCAATGCATCACGCACATTAGATCAAAGGGGTTAATTGCACACGGGAGACAGATGTGTGTGGAGAGTTTTATTGCTTGTGCACCGTATATATAGGGTTACAAGGACGTTGATCTGGTCGATATAGGTGTGTTTGGTGTGTCTAAGATGTTACCTATTAGAGATCCCTTACCACTCCTTATATAGTCTAGTTAAGGTTACAGATAGAGTCTCAGCCTGATTGGTTTACACAAGTCGGTTTTCCTCCTTATATAGTCCAGGGATAGGTAGGGTTATAGGTCTGCCGCTGAAAATGGATTTCTAGCCTTCTAAGGGTGGTTGCTAAAGACAACCGCATTTGAAAATCAGTTTTAAAAAGCAATTTTCTTAACACAAATGGCCCTTGAAATTTATTTCTAAAGGGTTTTGCTTAATGAAACGAACCATATAAATAGTTTTCTAGCGACGTGTTGAAGCATGACACTACAGAGGCCACATCTTTACGATCTATGGAGTAGCGTCAATTTCAGAAATCACCCCTGAAAACCGTTTTGACCGTCCCTGGAAATCATTTCCATAGTCTGCTAGTTTGTTACAAAGAATTCCGGCTTAAGTGAATTACATGGAATTCTGGATCACGAAATTGTTCTATTTCCATGGATAACCAAAACGGATATATGAACCCTGAAGATATATACCATTTTCTATGTACGATTATTGTATGCCAAATCTGATAAGTATTCATTGCTTTGTGTTGTGTGCTAAAAAAAGTCTGATAAGTATTCGTTGTTTTGTGTTGCATTATTCTAAAAAAATTGTTTGATTAAAGGTCTCATTGGATTAATATTTTTCATTTGGATCACTTTAAATTAGAGCCCTTCTCTTAGCAAGACTTTTCTCAATGTATACTTTGGATTGAACACATACTTCGATTTTCTGATATAACTTATAAGAAGAAATGGTCAATATTTTCTCGCCCCCTCTCCCTGGTGACTGCATGTGCATCTTTTGTGCTCTATCACAATGCAAGCATTGCTTTAGGAACAGAACAATAGGGAGAAGGCAGTAGCCCATATACTTTAAAAGCGATAACAAAAATCAGGTTGCTTGCTTGTTTCAAAAGAAAAGAAAAGTTTAGTAAAATAAGCTGATTTTAATACATGTTGTAACAATTTAGTTTATCTATATATATCCATGTCACATTTCAAATTATTTTTATCATGTACTCTCATGTATTCATGCTCTCAATCTCCATTGACATGAACTGTAATATTTGCAAAAATAGATCAACCAAAGGTTTATTGCCACATGTTGAAATCAGGGCATGAGCTTGCAATCTTAAACAACCATGTCTATGACTATCACTGCCCATTTTAGTTTTACATAAACTATATGAAACTTGGAGATTGTGGAGTGTGTATGAAAATTGCTTACATGACTGACACAAATATATGTTACAAACAACGTTGTCATTTCCGATCCATGCATTATGGTATGTTGATCTGCTCAGAATATTAAAAGCCCTTCTACTTGTCTTTGAAGGCTTGCCTCTGTTTTGATTTTAATAACTCCTAACTTTAGGCCAACACTTGGTCAACTTCTTATCTTTGTTTGCCCCTTAATGATTACCATTTGAATTTAGCTGAATTTAGTTATGATCTATTGCATGCATAACCTTCTCCGACGCAGGCACATTACCATTTTTTATGGCTACGAATGATTAGTCAACAATATCACTAGCTGCCAAGATAACTAAAGTTATATATGTTTAATAATAATGTTTTCTCTTTCCAAATATATCTTGTGAGCAAAAGAAGAGTAAATTGTAGCACCCAAGCCTTTACATCCCAAGACAACAACAATAGCTGCTTTTAAGATTGGTTGCATTATATCTCAAAGGACTTGTATTTCATTGCAATTTTTTAATTGGACTCATTTCTTTGCTATTTTGAAATTGTCTATTCTGCAAATGACTTTGATTTATTGTTTCCGTCAAAAAATCTCGTCGATTTTGGCAATGTGGGATAGGAGGAACAAAATAAAATGTTTTGACAATTAGTGAGATGTAAAAGTATCATGGAAACAAATGAGTCATGTTTCCGTGTGTTGGTTCCAATAGGATCTACTGATACACATCCAAATAATAGTTGTAGTTGTAAGTTACTATGCTCGTAGATTTCTCCTCTAATTTTCTAGTATGAGCTACTAACAAATGATGTGTAACTTTTCTAGTATATATGAGTTACTGCAAATGATGTGTAACTTTTATAGTATATATGAGATACTGCAAATGATGTGTAACTACAAAACATATAGGTTGGTAGAGAGAATCTTCGGCGAACAACAAAAACTAACATCTGGTTCAAATGAATGAAACATGAAACTTAGGACAATGACCAATGACTAACTAACAAATTAGCTAACTAGCATTAGCTTTTGCCTTCCAACTTCCAACATCACATGACTAATACCCCTCCGTTCCAAATTATAAGTTGTTTTGACTTTGTTTAAGTATGTAGCTTTGCTATGCATCTAGTTACACGCTATGTCTAGATACATATCAAAAGCTATGTACACAGAAAATCCAAAACAACTTATAATTTAGAACCGAGGGAGCACTTACAAATATTATGCCACTAGTTTTCAAGATCTAATGTTAACTAAAACAAAATCTACTGTAATTAAACCATTGGTTTGATTGACTGATCAATCACGAGGGCGTGATACAACAGAAGATGCCCGTGAGAAAGCCCTGCAAATGATGGGCGCACTTCTTGACGATCGCGTGCATGGCGCTGTCGCGGCGGGTCCTCAGCGGGCCCGGCGACTGTCACTGGTGGTGGTGTGACCTACCATCCTCATGTGCGTACAGCTGCGACGCTATCCTCACGAGCGGGTCGCTGATGGCTGCCTCCAGCGGTCGACCGCTGCCGTCTCAGAACAAGGCGGCGCCGCTGATCACGTCCACGAAGCTCATGTACCCGAGCGCGGCACTGACATGGAAGTAGGCCTCGACGGCATGCTCGTTGGTCATCCCGCCGCTTCCGTTCTCGTGCCACAGAGGCAGCTTGCTGCTGCACGGGAGTGGGGCACCGGAGGCGCCGCAGCGACGATGACAACCGGCCGCCCGAGCTGGCGGTGCCACGCTGCCGCATAGCAGCTCCCCGCTGGAGTAGGATCCGTCGTCGTCATCCGGGTTGCTGTAGATCTATAGGCTTAGATGCAGCTACGAGTGGATCATCGCCATGGCTGCCTCCATCGATGTAGGGTGGAGCTGTTAGCGAGGAGAGGATGCATACGCACGCTCCGCCATGCCACTCGGGTGGCTTGGACGCAAATAGTTAGGATTGGAACATGGAAAGTTGTTATAGTATCTGCAGGTGCAGGCCCAAGCCTAGGGCCACTAGGGCCATGGACCTAGTCGTGGCCCAACTAGCCCAATAATACCTATGTAATTTTTTTTGTCCAACAAAAATAGTCCAACAAGTGTTCCATTAGAGTCTCCGTGAAGCTAGCTTCTGTGCTGCTCGTGAGTAGGAGTCGTGCCGCGCCGCCGCTGCTCATAGCTGCCACACCGGCATGCCATCCTGCCGCGTGCATCGCTCCGTGCCTCCGCCGATCGTTGTCCCCACTCCGGTCTCTGGTGTCCAACTGGTCCACTCTACAGTTTGGCCCGCTCGATGTTGCGGCTTGTCTGTTGTCCACCTGACCGCCGACCGCCTCAGCCAACAGGCCAAGCCATCGTCTTGCGCCTTGCGCCCTCACCTGGACACAGGAGCAGGCAAGCAGCCTGCATCACAGTGCAGCCCTTCTCTGGAACTGAAAGGTTTTTCTCTTGATTATTGTTGGCCGTAGCGAAGCCATGTTAAGGCCATGCTGGACTTTGCCCCCCTTCCCAAGATCGATTTTGAAGAGCCGCTTATTGTTTGTGCAATCTAGACTCGCAGCCATCTTAACTTTTCTCGCCATTATAGCATGCACTCTCTGCAGCGTTTGCAGAATGGCAATATGTATTCTTGTCAGATTTAATCTGTTTTTGTCACACTAGTTTTCAGTACATCTAGTTTAGTGTCATTTAACTATTTAGCACAATCATGGAATTGGCCTCCCTGGTTTTAAGGCACGCTCCGCCACTATTTGTTG